AAAAACCAATATAATGAAAGCCGATAAAAAAAAGTATTTATATTAAGAATAAAACAATTTTATTACGAACAATTTTGTAGTTTAAGCTTTTAAGAACGACGTAATACGTTTAGTAATAAAATGGAAAGTTTGTTTGTCGTCCGATAATATCATTACATCACATTATTATGATCATCACACGGCGTTATGGATAGGCTTTTCAGATACACTTATGTCGAGATGCTATTATTATGGTATCTCGTATAAACTATGGTCTACATTATTATATTTTGTTAAAAATATTACATCAAAGTACGACGTAATAATAATGTATTGTGTAAACGTGCAAAGAAAGTAAATTGAGTAAGAAAAAAATAAACTACAGTGAAACCTGTAAATACCAGACACTTTCTTTTGAGCTGAAATTTTGTCGACTATATTCAGAGGGTTCCACTTGTAGAAAGTTTGGAGTTTGTTTCTAAAAAAAACCTCGTTATCCACTATATATTTTGAGTGGTGTGTGTCTGTTAGGGGAGGTTACACTGTGGTATGATTGAGTCTGAATGCAATTTTATGTAAATCGAAATGAATTAAATAATAAAATTTCATATTTTATTGGACTATAATATATTATTATACTGAATTGTGTTCATGCAGTAATGAACACTTACTTGTTTACGGAATTACATGGAACAGTAAATGACTCAAATATTTTAAATGTAAAATAGATCAATGTAGACATTATATTTTTCATTGGTTAGTAAATAATAAAATGGTTTTCGTCAATTTTTTTGGAACACTTTTCTGGGAAAATTGTCATGAAAAATACTTTATTTCTGCACCAGGTGGACGAATAGCATGGTTTTATATCTTGAAACAATATTTTTAGTTTATTAAATAAGTTTTTTTTTAAACAATAAATATATATATTGGTACACTACTACACAGTGGTTCACATCTTAATGTTGTAAATGTTTTCTGGTTGTATTCACAGGAATATAACTGATAGGTACTGTCATTCTCGTCGTACGGTCTTACATTCAAATAATGTCTCAGATAATTCTGTAAGATTTAGTTTTAGTATGATATCCAAATTATTATATGTACTGCAGTGTTATTGTAATTGGACGATTCCGTTGAAATTTAATTAATATTAACATTTAAAATGTGGACAAGTGGGCACCACTTTGCTGTACCGTAGTTGTCAAGTACCTATGTCACTGTATAATGGACGTTTTAGGTTTGAATTTTTAAATTAATGTTACTTTCAGGCAAATTCATTATTTGTAAAAAGTAGGACATTTTCCATCAACCCTTTGTTGACTAAACTCAGAATTAAAAATTATTTTTCCGTTTTTTTTTTGCATACAAACATGATGTTTGACCCATTGATAAATAACTGAACCTTTTTAAAAAATTTTATCAAATCAAATTTGAGTTATGATCTTGGTACTCAGAAGTGCCGTTGGTAAGTTTAACATTTTTATCCTGGTACTAAAATATACCGTCGGCCATAAAGCACATTATTTTTTTACATACAATCTATACGAATCAAATAACTATTATATCAAGATAATTCTTTAAAATTGAAACATTACGTTTGGGTTCTAAGTAGTACGAATTTATCAAAGTATGTATATGCATTTAACAATATAATAACAAATATTTAATACTTTATACATTTGATTACTATATTTATTTTTAATTCCAAAAAATGTACATATTATATTCCTTATGTTATTCCATGGAATACATTAAAACAGTTTTTTTTTCATTAGAACAAATAAATATACCACAACGTGTACATTTTAAACGTCGTTTTGACTGTATCTGATTCATTGAACATACATCACATCTTCCTTGTTCATCCACATATTTAATTCAGCGTTTAATTCACTTTTATTTTATTTAAATTTTCTTTGAAAGAGACCTCGTACTGGAAATTGGAAGAAAGATGCTGTTGAAGAAATTCAAAGCATTTTCAATGTCCCAAAAGGTGATGAGAAACAAAAAATATAAATACAAAAATGAATACAAAATCATAGAAAAATCAATACATTTAACGCTCCGCTCCAAAACCAAAATTGATTTTGTAGTTAAAAATGTATTAACTGTTCAACTTTTTTAAGCTAATGATTGAAAATTTAAAACAAGTTTCCACGTAAGCAGTTGATTCGGTATCCAAAAAATTTTAAGATAAATACAAACACGGCTTTTTTTACAGTTATTTTAAGTTGATATTTAGACGAAATTACATATCAACACAAAGAATAACGATTTCAGTCATTTTGTTGTGATTCGGTTCTAAAACAGCCCAATTTAGCATAGGTATGTAAAACATTTTTCCAGCATTGCAAGTAATTTTAGAATAATATTATGAATAATATTATTTTAACTTACCGGCTATGGCATTAATAATAATTAATAATAATATAAAATATCCTAGAATGGTATACTGTTTCCGCTCAACATCGTTTTCCGTATACAATTATAATATCATATAATTCAATTTAAATTTAATATCACCGAATACAGCGACCTCCTAGACACCTAATGTACAGTAAAATGACATCCACTTAACCCCTTTTCTTGTTGCGTTCCCCAGGTTGGAAACCGCTTGTACAAAATATGTTTGTAAACACCATTCTATCTTTTTTTTTTTTTGTGAGAGTGACTATCACTAAAGTATATAAATAATATCATTACGTTACCTATGCAATTACAAATATAACGAATAAACGAATACATCGTACAACGAATTTGTCGACTCGTATTTGGTGTACGAGCCCAGCGAGAGGCTTTGTGTATGAGTCATTTGTGCGATTTTCGTGTGTGATCTTTTAAACATTTTGCCAAAAAAGTGCCCATTCGACCATGGCTACAGTATTACCCGACTTCACCCTGGAAAAAATAAACAAATATCAAATAATACGGTAATCGATTTATTTCGGTTCCTGCAATGTACCTCGAGTCCTCAATTGGATACGTGCTCAGGAAAGTGTGTGACGGTTGTGTACCTCGTTTTGCGGAAAACCCACAAATCCGTCTGCCACAGTTGGATTAGTTACAGCCCTCGGTTTACTTGTTTAGGTTTAAGTGTAATAAAACTTCTCGAGCAAATCGGTTTGAGTTTAATTCCGCATGGAAAATGTATTACAGATGTAAGCAACAAAGATTTTACACGATCAAGCCCAGGTGAGTGATTGCGTCTAACCTTTTAAATTTTTTTTCTGTAAAAATCTGATTCGTGTTTCGTCAGTCGTCACATACATTTTCCGATGGCAGAAGTAACGGACTTATAAATATAAAAATATTATTCTTCCAACAATGCGTGTATTATATTAAAGTGTATACTTAGTTTGAAAATGTAAAAAAAAAATAATGCACTTGACAATTTGATAATCGATTAATATTTTTCTATCCTAACTTCGACAACACGTCTGTACTTTATTACTTTCTATGGGTTGTTTTCAACAAAAATCTAAAAAATATTCATTCAATTATTTATTTGATGAATACTTTATACAACTTTTTGGATTATTTATCACATTTAAACATTTTTCCATACTAACTTTGACATTTCATACCCATGTGGTAATTCTGAGGAAAATTACAAATTTCTAAACCCAGCAATATGTCTTTGTGCTGGAAAGAAACATTTTTCTTTAATATAAAGATTGATTCACCAGCTATTACTCTATTTTTCTTATTCTATAATGCAGTTATTCAAAATGTGATTTTTTAAATATATTTTAAGAAATAAATTTGCAAATTGTTGAGATTTTTTATGCTTGTTAAGGACTGTTCTTTAGAGATACAAAGTTATTTATTCAAATAACAACCTCTTTTTTCTACTGTAAAATATTTAGCAGATAATTTTTCTAAAAATTATTAAGTATCAAAATCAAAATATGTAGGAGTAGTTTGGGTAGTTTTTTGAATTATTTTACTTTGGGTAAATACTAAGGATAATACAATGATAATGGATTATAAGATACGAGATCAATTTTAATTGAACTATGTTAGTCATTTATTTAATAAATCTAACAATATTTATAAATTATAAAAATAGACCAATCATTGAAGTACAATTAAAAGATATCCGATATTACCTGTAAAGTATAGTTACAATAAACCTTTTCTAATGACTATTGCAGTATTTTCGTTGACATACATATTTTTATAAATAAAAAACTTTTAATTTATTTTAGAATTAGGTACATAAAAAGTTCAGTAAAATTATTCACTTAATAATTTACAGTGTTTCGGGTTCACTTTCGAAAAACAGAAGCTTGTTACGCCACAGGCAACAATTCAGCAGTAAAAAATATCTCAAGAATTGCTTAATATAATATTCATTAAGTACATTTATAAATTCCAAAAATCAGAATTTGAATAAATTCATTATTAAATGAAAAAAGGGGTGAGCATGCTTGGTGAATCGCTAAAAATAAAATCACGACCTGATTTTGGTTCACGAGTCAAAGCCCAATGTTTGGGAATTTCTTCCCTAGAGGTTAATATTTAAGAATCTTTAAGTCTCTTTATTGTAATCCAATTATATATTTAATTAACTATTTGATTATTAAAAATTAGATTCTTATTATACTCTACGTCTTGGGCTATTGATCGCATTAAATTGATTTTCCAACCAAATTTGACTCTTTAAATGAAGGCCTTTGATTTCTGTGTAAAGTTATAGGTTTCTAGACCCAGAAATTTGGACTTTGCGTTGATACCTATGTGAGTTTTTTCTTCTATACATAAACACTTTTTATCCATATATTGGATGCATAGATTTCTGTTTTTAAATTTTGGTTAATACTTGTTACTAAATACTTTTTTTTCGTGGGCACTCGAACATAATTATAAAAAAAAAAATCAGCTATTATAATATAGTGCGGCCATTCCATGAAAAGGTTTACTTATGTGAAATTTTAAATTGCAATGATTGCATGTCATCGCATCCTAATTAAATAAAACAAATAATCATTATTTGCCTTTGTATTCGCATCGGAACATTTTGTTGAACGTGTAAATTAAAAACATAAATAATTCAAATCCATTTTAAACATTTATTCATATCCTGGGGCGGTTATAAGTACATTAAATCGAACAAAAATCGAAAATCAATGAAACCAACTCTTTAAAATCAAAAACTACTACATTATATCCCAATCATAGCCGGTTCGCCAACGTACAATATTATGACTGCTGCACCAGGGGTGAGTTTTGTTTCTGATTTATTTGACAAGCCATCACACTGACAGTTGCATTTTCGGCCTTAACGTTTTTAGGCAACGTCACGTTGTTTTGATTAGCCCACTCGGGGTAATTAGCTTCGTACAAAGTTTTCAGGCCCAAAGAATTTGCTATTCCTTGGCTCTTTTTGTTGGTGAATAGTCCGGATATCACGTTGCACCCCAAATGCACCATCTCGGGTAACTGCTGATTGATTACGCACTCCAACAGTTTTTTGCCCAGCCCTGTGTGTTGTACAACAAATATTAATTCAGTCGATTCAAACAGCTGGGTAGGTTCGCAGCGTGCTACACCTATATAATATAGTATGTACTATATAAAATATAAATTAATACGTTTATACGTATAAATGAAAAGCAGTCGTTTCGTATTATTTTTGCGAGAGCGTTTTTTCGAATGTATATGAATTTTCGTATTTCGTTGGAGTGTTCGACCAATAAACGTTATACTTAAAAGGGATATTATTATGCTATTTACGTGTTACCAATAAACGAGCGGTCTACCTTTTATGTGAGTATTATTAGTAAAACACACTTACCTTGACCTCTATAGGCAGGAAGAATAAACCAAGCGTAAACTCTGAAGAATGCTACAGTCTTGTAATATTTGTAAATGTCAACTTTTTGGCTCAAGTGGTTTTTGAAATTCTGTATTATATTCCATTTTTCTCCTTCGTACAACTAAAACATTTTTTTTTTTCGTACATCAAGACAAAGATAAATATAAAAACCTGGAAAATCGCTCTGTCGTACAGTTGTTGGGTGGGTTTTGAGTGTAACCTATCGTCACTGTTGAGTATAGGTCACTGCGTAATGGATGTGTGTTAATTATGAATTCAATTATAAAATAACATCTCGCATCATGTGCATAACGAAAAACAATTATTCTGAGTGGAGACGGCGTGTCAGCCTCTGTTTCTGAGAATATTAATTGTAATTCATATTCGTATTACAATAAGTTAATTATTTTTTCTATTAGTAGTACAACGGTATAGGAACTCAACCCGAAACCATATAGCTTATTAGAATATTATAATTAGAGCCCGGATTCAAAGCATGTGCCTATGATATATTTCATACAATACAGAGGACAAGAATTTCAAATGCACAATTCGTTTTGTGCATATCTATTTTGAATTCCCGTTAGAAATGTTCCCATTTTTAGAGTATTATTTTTTAAATTATTTTCGCTTGATTGTATTAATTTTTACTTTTATAAATTAATAGGTAATTATACTAGATTTCAGTGTAAATGAGGAAATTCAAATTATCGAATCAAGAAATATTGCTTACATAATATTTGATGTTTTGGTTTTTAGGTATTTCCGTTCGCATACTAAAATATGTAAAATATCGTTCTATATTATATGAATGTCTTTCTCTATAGCGAGCAATCGCCGGATATGGAACTGAACTGATCTGTACTCATTAACGAGGCATATTTGAGGAGGGAATTCTCTCGTATTTTTTTCTAGACGATATATTGATATTTTACTGTAGTGTATTAAAAAAATATTACATCAATATTAAATTAAATTTGATACTTATATTTTTTATTCGTTTACTCGAAAATAAATTTTAGATTATCTGCAACTATTAACTATTTTTAACTCTGCATCAAAGAAAAATGTATTTCTTAAAACTAATCATGGTATCAACTGTTATTAAAATATTATATTTCGTATTATGTGTGTAATATGCTACTGTTATCAGGTGCAGTTAGAGGGTCTTTAGCCACTAAAGAGCTTTAGCCATCACCTTAGGAAATGTTGAATATTGTGTATTTTCATTTATACAATAAATTATAATTCATACGTTTTGAAATCCACAAATATAAATTAAATTATTATTATCGTTATCAAATCTTGTATCCTTAATATTGTCTCCTTAAATGACTCATCTATAAACTGTTATGTATTAAAATTAAGATCATGTTTTTTTCAGGAAAAATTAACCCTCCTCCCCTCCCCCCTTCGTTTCAGATTCATAGATCCATATAGCCTGATTGTTATTAATTTATTAATTTCAATACTACTGGCGTAACGGGTAACGTAGAGCGTGATGTAAATATGTTCATTATTAAAATAGATGAAAATTAGTCTGAACAATATGTCGAAAATGTTATTACAAGAAGAGTTTGGAAAACAACAACAATATACGTAATGGTAAAAAGTTTCAAGTCCCTAAGGTTAATATTTTTCAAATTACGAAACTTAATAAGTAAAATTGTTATTTTTCGTTTAAACATCAAATTTCATCAAAATTTTAATTTGAACAAAATATTGAACCACCTCTCTCTATTCATCTAAACTTAAACTAGTTTTCTTTACAAGTAACTAATTAACTACGAAATTCTGAACTTTCTGAAACTTTCCCAGACACCGAGTGTTTATCTTTACACAGAATCTGATTATTTAATTGTCCGGTTACAAATTATTGTGTGTACCTAAGTAGGTCGTATGTACCATCAATTTGTAAAATAAATTCATCCAATTACTCTCAATCTGCTAAACTCCAATGAGTTATCTTCAATTGAACAAAATCTGCAAATAATTATTCCAACGCATTTCCCGGAGCTTTTTTCAATTACGATTGTCGATAGAGTATCAGAGATCCAATGTTTGATCAAATATAAAAATTGATCAATTGAATCTTGATCTGATGACAATGTGTTACTATCGCATAATGATTCTTCGTATATATAATTATTCTGAAAACAAAAAGGTGTTTTTTTTTTGTCATTTTTTTAAAATTGTTTTTTCAATTTAATCAATTGAGGCATAATATAGTTAAACTTGCTACTTAAAATGTTGAAAATATTTATCCCTCTGATTTTAACAATATCGATTTATTTTTTATAGAATAATAAATCATAATAATAATTTTTTTATGTAATATATTTATAATTGTTATAAATTTCAAATTTTTAAAAAATAAGAATAAAGACGTTGCTACACCGGATACCTATCTAGGTAATCCGGGTTGATTGATTGGTCAATGTATTTATTTTTTAACCTAAAATAAATTCATATATTTACGTTAAAAAATTATGCTGACCACATGTAGTGTTCTGATTAAAAAATGGTATTATAAATATGAAAAATTAATTGTAATTGTTTTACCTATCTAAAACTTGGTATCTATCTATCTAACTATACAAACATGAAATCTATTTTCATTGTAATATTAAGCCAACATAATAACAGCAGCTAATCACAGAAACTACTCATCCAAATATCTTGATTTTTTTTTAAATGATAGAATATATCACTGAGTAGGTTTTAAGCATATTTTAACCCTACAAGGAGGAAAAGGGTAGATTACACATTCACTTTTTCCAGCTCACTAAAGACAATATTTTTTTTTCATTTAAGATTGCCATAGGTTACATATTTAATTACCTACTTTAATATTATAATTAGTTGAAATATGTGACACACACATTTCTTTTGCAAATTTATTTTTTTTTCAAACAAATCTTTGGCGCGGATAACGTCGGGCAGAACAGATAGTATGATATTTAAATCATTATCATATTAACGAAATGCAATGGGAAACTGGTCTTACAATAATAAAAATTCGTTGTAAGTACCTAAATATCTATATAACGTCAAGCCACAACAAAGGCATGCATATTATTTGTTACCCTGGTATAATCGAACAGTTTAAGGGCAACGTTTTTGGATATAGCTGACAAAGTGGATTTTCTACACTTTGCACGAATCTTTAAATAATGTAAATATCTTAGTTATTATATGAAGTATTAAATACATACAAGAGGGTAGGTATTAAAAGAAAAACTTAAACTTTTCTTTGAAAATATTAAATACCTACTATGAATAATATAGTCACAATTATGTGGCTTGGCGCAAGAAGGACAGAATGTTCAGAAGGTAAAATAAGTCACATTCGAACGAATTTGAGATTATTTGACATCGTCAATATTTGATTACTTATATTGTTTGTGTGTTAAAACGGCCAATTTTACCGATTCAGTACGCCAAAATTCATACATATTCATTGGTCATTTTGACATTAGTCGATAGAAGTAGGATATATATTATAATATATATTGCGGACATTGGATTTGGACATTGGCCATTTTAAAAACAATTAATAAAGTTTATAAATATGAGTAATACGTGCCTATTAATATTATGTGCAACTAATATTACAATAAATGTAAGTTGTTTACTTATTAGAAAAAAAGTGTGCATTTTAAATTTTAGTTTTTGGCCAATAGGTATCTGTAATTATTAATTATATTTATAAATTCATCAAGAGGGTCAATGTGAAAATCCAATTAATACATTTTCTGGTTTCGCAAAATATGAACGTTTCATTAAATTAAGAATTTAATACATCAAAATGTCAATATGTCATCGAATTTCTAAAACATTAACGTAGAACCAATAATCCTATTTAAAAATTAAATTTCCCAATAATCTTCTTATTGACATTGTATCTTCTTGCGACATACCTTATTATACATAATAATATAAATACGTAACTTAACACGAAGAAGTTTAAAAAAAAAAATTGACAACATAATATTATGCTGAACTGTCAAAACCTGTACGTAGTATCGAATGGACAATTTGAAATGAATTTTGATACCAATTGAGATTCATATTTTTAGCATTTGGCTCTTGTATTCGATTTTCACCGAAATCGATCAGAAATATTATAATACGTGAGCATACAACATATGTAATTTGCACCTAAATAAACAGGCCTATCTATATTATATTTATTGATTACCTACACACAGAAAATATCAATAATATTAATAATTTATTAATTGAGGTCTACGAATTACCATGTGAATGGTTATAAATTAGGTATAAAAGGTAGATATTATTATATTGCCGGTTATAGCACTTTGAGCTCAATTCAGTCGAATTGATCAACTATTTATTAGTATTTAATGCAATAAACCAACATCAAAACAATGTTCTCTTCCTATAATAGCATATAATTTTTATAAAATATGAATGACTACGTATAAACTTTTAGGTACAGTATACCAAAAGTACGTTCGCATTTATTTGTTGTATTTTCAAAACAATACATTTCATAAAATGATAAAACCCTACTCAGGTGGAATCACTCTATTGTTAAAGCTTACTTCTAAACAACACCAGATCTGCTGAAGGCAAAACATAATTATAAATGTTGCTGTAGGCAAGTTTGTACAACACAATATACCGTGGGTATGGTGTCTTCTTAGCATTTCATTTTTTCACTCGTTTTACATGAATTTCTAGCTTTACCTGCCATGCGTTGAAGGCATAATGTTGTAGAAAAATATGCGCCGTAATGGCTGCCGAGCCATAGACTTTGTATTTAAGAAAACTGTTTAATCCAGGCATAGGTTGGCACTCCGAAGATCTGTTCACTGAGTGGAAATATTATTATGAGCGCGTTGAAATTATTTTTTTTATCATCAAATTTCAGAATTTGAATAACAGTTTCGATGTTTTATGATAATATGTTGATATGTTTTGTTATTCAGTTATGTCACAATATTTTTTAAAACATAATTTCATATGAATTTTATTGTAAGAATGTGCGTGTTTCTATATAGGTAATATCGCTGATACTTGAACTTGTACCAATCAATATGGTAATACACTGAATACTTAATACTGATGCTCAAGGATCTATTAAAGAGTGCAGCGGGACAAGATATTGTAATTTTTAAATTTTGAGTTTCACTTCCATCTGGTTACTATTACCTAGTGAAAAAGTACCTATGGTTTGTGACGTGTTTTCATTCACATATGTAGGAATGTAATAATATTAATTGTTTACCATGTAGACAGTTAGTTCAAACTTAATATCATAGACGGCAGAATTAATTTGGTATGTCATTTTTAACTAACATTTTTTTTTTCTTTGGAGTACATCAAATGTCACTTATCACCTTTTTATAGTTTAAAATTATTCATAAAAAAAATAAAGAACAACCAAATCGTTAAGAAATTAAAACTGATTTTTTTAAAATTACTTATCTATTACTTAAAAAAATGAAAAAAAATTGTATTAATTATAAATCAGACTAAGCCATTGATTATTCTATGAATTCTATGAACATTTAATATTGTTTTTATCAAAATAGTAAAAACTTGATTGACACTGCACTTGTCCTCACCACTACATGCCATACTTTTATTTAAAAAAAAATCAACGTTGTTATAGTTCAGACGTTCATAATCGAGTTTAATAAATGTCACTCGGTAAAAAATTTTTATTTTTTATTTAAAAAATATTTATTTTGTGATATTTTGTGTTACATAATATAATGACTATAATAATTTACCCGGAAAAAAAGGCAACGATGAAAACTGCTAGTACTTGCCCCCCCTCCTCTGCGTACGCCCTTGTTTAAACTAACCATGTTAGGTATGTAAATATTTTCTGAACTTTATGTTCGAACGGTTTCAAAACGAAATACATTTTATGAGATATTATATCAATCACAAATGAATTTTTAATTTTAAAATCAGGAAGATAAATAACTGCCCATACATAGGTAAGTATTAAAATAACAAAACCGCAGGTGGTTTTAAAACGTTTCCAGATGTTTTTAACACATTGTATACCTATATAGGTTACCCATAATATAATATAGATATTATGATATTATCTTACTTTAAACATGTCCAACACTTCGTCGAATCGCTCGTCGACAAATACTTGAAAAATGAATTCTGATCTGAAGACCGTCCACATTCTGGGTTGGGTGATTCTCGTCATGAAGTCTTCTTCCGTTTCCTCTTCTGCGGGTAAATCTTGTTTTGGCTTGGACGACATTGTACAACGAATCGAGTTCGTTTACGACCAGTGAAAACTAATTTCCGTTCGCGAATCGTAGATTCCTTACTATACTTCAGTGTGCATGTCTGGCCTATACATACCGCCGGTTAAGATACGGTGTACCTCCAACCGCCGCGGTACAACTCCATCGATCGTCAATATAATGGTTACCAAGGTTACTGCATGTGATTCAAAATTATCTTTAATTCGAGGCACACGGTGTACACAATAATGTTTATAATATTAGTGTACGTACCTAGTATTAAACAAAGTATATAATATGTTAATATTACAGTTCAAAAACTTACGCATAGGTACCCGTTTTCAAACATTGCTTTGTTGCTAGTTTTTCGCTTTGTTTTTGACTATATGTCGGCGAGCTTCCGAAACAATATCCAATAATAAATATTTACCGATCAAACATGAAAGGGCGAGGGTCGATACGAACAATAGAGAAAAAAATAAATTTTCCGCTTCCTGTGCTATACGTATACGTGTGTATACACAAACTACTCACTGCGCGCAATATTTACAATAGTAGGTAGGTAGGTACATATATATATATACACAAACATAAAGAAAGTCAACAAAACTTTCATGCCATATAATAATAATACGCGAATAATCGCCGTATATTAATATTTAAAAGTGTTCTTTCTGAATGATTTTCGTTTTTCATCGAAAGTCAATCGCAACAATACCTACGTGAAATGGTCTAGAACGAAAAACCGTATACAGACCGAGGTCGAAAGATGCAGAAACGGGGTTACCCGGTAGTAGGTACCTATACCTACTCACTATGAGTGGATTGATAACGAAACTGTGGTCTCGAACCTGACCCATTCCAAACATTTTGTTTGGTATTGAACCGGATTTGAACTGCAAAAACAATGCATTCCGAAGAAAAAAAATTCAAGCGAATTGTGTTGGTGGATGAAATTTAAGAAAAACTGGTTATTGTTTAACAGTCTGCTGTACATTAGGTGTCTGCAGGAGCCCAGAGAGTCACTGAAGCAATGAATGTGTTAAATTTTAATTCGATAATCAATAATCTACGAAAAACAATTCTGGGCGAAGACAGTCTTGTCAGATTGTCAGCCTATAATATCACTAAGTAAAGTTGATGATAATTATTATTGTGATTAAAGTAATTTATTTTTCTATAGACGTTATAACTAGTGTAGGTAAATTCATTTTTGGCAAAAAATTATAATTTCAAATGTTATCGTGTGTATAAAATATAATTATATAGACACTCTGAATGTTTTTAACTACAAAATAATTTCGAAATATTCGAGATTTTGATGAATGTCTTAAAAATTTCAACTTAAAATACTTATACAACAGATTTTTAAAATTGTTAAACTGATTTTATAACTGTTTAAGAGGAACCTCGCATTACATTTTCGAGGTTTTTGGCACAACGAATACAATCGTATTGACATTTAATACAGAAATTTCAAATGTCTATTAATAACTCAAAACTAGTCAAAATATTTTGAAAATGTTATCACTTAAATTTTAAGATAAATATTTTATGAATATTTCAAGTATTTGAGGTGATTATTTTTTGAATAGCCAAAAAATAAGAAAATCATTGTAGGTATGAGAATTTGTTAACTTACGGGTGAATATCCAATGTCTAACATCAAGTAACGGTAGTAAAAAATTAATATGACTTTCCAATACACTTTTTTTGTTTGTTAAATGTAGGAAAACTTAAGGAAAATCCTGCATTAAGTTTTAAAATCTAAGATATATAAAACAAAAATGTTATTAATCTATAATTCAAATTTATGAATTTGAATAAAAGAGAATAAACAATTAATAATTTGCTAATTTTTGCGACTTTTTAAATCTTGTCAAAGTTCTAAGTTCAAACGCCCATAAAATATTATTATGGATTTTCACTAAAATTTTTTTTTCATTTTTACTAAGAACAACTTATAAGGACCTTGTATTATATTTTCAAGTTCTTTGACGGACCGAAAAAATTTTTATCGACCTTAATCAAAAAAACTTTCAAATTTCAAAACCTATAAATAGTTCTATACAAGTCGAAATATTTTAAACATTTTATGGTGTATAGAAAATGTGAATTGAAACACTCAGAGAAAATTGCATGTATCTATGGTAATTTTTTTTAGAGTTAATTCGAAAACCAATTTCGCTTAAAAATCTCAGTTTTTCTTTAATTTTTTGTTTGCTTATCCCTACTATTGGGAATTTTTTACTTTTGACCCTCAAAAGTATCAAGTTTCACTTTCTTATCATAAAAGACGATGTTGAGGATAATCGAAGCATTTTTACTGTCCCAAAAGGTAATGACATACACCAAAAAATAAAATAAAGATAAAAACACACATCATTGTAAAATCAATACATTCATCGCTCAGCTCAGAACCTAAAAGGTGGGCGAGTGGGTACCGCTCTGTCTTACAGTAGTAAGTTGTCGAGCATGTAGTTTTTATGGATGTATTTTTTTTTTATTTCAATGATGGATCATTGCAAAATAAAAACGATTCAGAGCGGAGACGCTGTGATCTTGGTATACTAGTGAAAATAATCAAATTTAATAGGTAGGTAGTTAAAAAAAAAATAGTAAAAATTGATGATTTATCAAGGCTATAATAATAGCTCAAAAAGAGCCAAAATATTTCAAAAACGTTACCATGTATGAAAATCGTAATTCATATATTATACTTTTATTGAAATGTGTCCGCGGGTTATTAGTTTTTGTGTTTTCTGTAATAATTACTATTTATTTTTCAAAATGCTCTCAAAAACTACTATGAACTATCAATTTTCAACATTTTAAAGTACGGATCAGATTAATTTTTCTATCGGAAAAGATGCCGATGTCGAGAATCGAAGCATTTTTGCTAGCCCAGATGTTGATGACGGACAGAAAACAAAACAAACATCACCGCGAAATCAATATATTTATTCGCTACGCTCAGAATCAAACAATTTATTTTTTACAACAGTAAGCCACTTATACGCAAACATATTATAAAGAAAGTCTACAAAACGATGACGCCATATAATACGTAAATAATCGAATATTATTTTTGAATGATTCGCAGGATATGTCTCATCAAAATATATCTTCAAGTGTTCACGAGAACAGAGATCTTTGTATTCAAGGTGCTTAATATTATATATAGGCAGAGGTATCATTTAATTTAATTCGTTTTATTAAATAAATAAGCCTCGGCGTCTATGGCCATTGGCATACAAGTAGTCTTTTAGTATATTATAGAGATTCTTAAGATATAGAATTTACGTAAACAATTAACAGGTTTGTACAGTATTTGTAAGATTGGTCTTAAGGTATAGTATTTGCATGAACAATTAACAGATTTTCACAGTATTCGTAAGATTGATCTGGATTCAAAAATGCATCATGAGACTCGCGTTGTCCGGGTGGAGGGTTTTCGACAGGATATTTGAAACAAGAGCTAGGTGTTATGTCGTTGGACTATTATTGGACGTTGGTCGAAGGACTTAATGTTACCAAATTTTTCATTCGCCTACTATACCACCGGTATGGTAAACGAGCATACTAACATTTTACATTTATTGTAGGTAGACCTACTCACGGAAATATTTTCACGCGCGCTGTTTAACGATACTAATTACTAATATATTATTCATTTTTCGATTCGGCAGACTAACACCGTGTAATATTGTGCACATTGAGTTTATCAAGAAATTATAATTGAATTGATATTTCAGCCACCTAGGTTGTATAGGTATAACATATTTAATTATTTATCTGTTAATCACGGTACGCGGGATCAGAACCGAATGGTGCTAATTTGGATTTCGAATTTTCAGTTATTGCGATCACTTATTAGTTACCCGAAGGAAATTTATTTTCCTTTCATCTATTCGTTTCGTCGCGATTCTTATCGAAGTACAAGGATTCATTGAGTCGATAGATTTCATAATATTATACAATTTCCAAATGTTTGTTGAAAACAATAATCATTGTATTCAATACTTAATATCTCCGAACTATTTTTGTCAGAAAATCTTTATCGATATTCATTTATACCATTGCGGTATACCAGTACTCTTAAAAGAATATTCTCTTGCAGATTATTACCGGGTAGGTAATTTTCAATTTTTTTTTCTTTTTTGTGTCATAATGATGTGATTATGTTTGAAGGTTGGTACTTTTGTTAATCAACTATATATTTTTCATTTTGTAAATAGTTTTATAATTTTATTAATAAGACATTGCTCAATTGAACAAGAAGTTATATTTTAATTTTTTTAATTTTTGGTTTACTATGAAAATAATATATTGAATTGAGTATTATTCTAGTGATCTTTAATATAAAAGTACCGAATGATATACTGTATACTATGTAAAACATGATTATTTAAATAATGTGTATGATGTTCAGTTGTGGACTGTGGTAATGTTTTATTCTCTTTTCTATGGGCTCGGTCAATGAATTATTGAAGAAAAAGAAAATTACTTTATATTCTCTAGCTTAGAGTATATTCTCAAGAATATTGTATATTTTATTCTTGAGAATATTCTCTCGAAAGATGATTACGGTAATTGTACATCACTATATACCAGTAGATAGAATGTCGATGTGTTCATTCACGTACTGCAATAATAAACAAGCATAAAAATATAAAATATTTGTTAATGCGGGAAAAAAATTATAAAATTTAGGTACCTCCCCCCCCCTGGATCCACAGTTGGTTCTATACACACTTTAAATCAACTAAAAATTTTATTTCGTATTCACAGTTCAAATATATACAATAGTTATAGGTATTGCAGTAAATGTAATTTTTTTTTTATTATTGGGCTTATAATAAATTAGTCTTCGACAACTGAGGTCATTGGCCTAAAGGTTAGACATATGACCGTGGAAAACTTGGAGATATTTTTCGAGTTTCCCTCTCCAAGTGCTTGTGTCATAGTGTGTGGGTTAACAAGACAAATGTATTACATAAATTCATGTTATAATTATTGTTTATTATTGAATCAACGAAATTATATAATAGTTGACAGCACCACCATAGTATTATTTTGGTCTTATCATTCACGACCCATCCCCTTTTGTAAAACTAAATTTAATTTCCCGGAAATTATACACTTAAACACTTAACTCAGAACAAAAAAGTTCTAACGGAGTGACAAAAATACTCGTATATTCAAGTCCAAAAGGTTCTGTCTGCAGAACTTTTTGAACTTTACAGTCCTTAACTTAAATCGTTTGTACATTATCTTTCT